CCTTGAGCCACTCATTTCACAGACATTTCTAAATCCCTTATATTACTTATCAGGAGAAAGGGGCTTCCTCTCAAGGAGCTCTGCAGTGTGGTGGGAGCTCTAATAGTGAAACATACAAGGTAAATAAAGCAGGCACCCAGCATAATAAACATTATTACCCTCATTTTATAAAAATAAAAATTCTGGTTAAAGAAACAATGTGCCTGCCCTGGCTGATGTGGCTCAGTTGGTTAAGCACCATCACATGCACCGAGAAGGCACCAGTTCAATTCCTGGTCAGGGCACATACTCAGGTTTCGGGTTTGAGGTGCATGCTGAAGGCAACTGATTTTTCTCTCTCATGTCAATGTTTCTCTCCCTCTCTCTCCCTTCCACTCTCTCTAAAATCAATAAAAATTTTTTTAAAAAAATGATGTGCCGGCCAAAACCGGTTTGGCTCAGTGGATAGAGCGTCGGCCTGCGGACTGAAAGGTCCCGGGTTCGATTCCGGTCAAGGGCATGTGCCTGGGTTGCGGGCACATCCCCAGTAGGGGATGTGCAGGAGGCAGCTGGTCGATGTTTCTCTCTCATCGATGTTTCTAACTCTCTATCTCTCTCCCTTCCTCTCTGTAAAAAATCAATAAAATATATTTTAAAAAAAAATGATGTGCCTAAAATTATATATTTTAATTTGCTAAATTCTCATAGTTGATTCAAACCCAAGTCTTGTAACTCCAATAAACCACACTGCATCCTACCAAGTATCAAGCTTCTGTTCAGTAAACATTTATGGACACCATGGATGTCTGCTTAGCACTGCAGTTGCTGAAATACTCCTGTAGATATATTCTAAATGATCAACAAAGACAATTGAAAAAGTAATTACTTCTATCCTTTACCTTGCTGGGCAAATAAACTTTGCTTTGAAAGTTGTTTATATTAAACTTTTTTTTACATACCTTGTGTCGTAAGCTTTTAACAGATTCCTTAATATATGGCAAATCTTTAGATGGGACGTACTTTTCAAGCATTTTATCAAAATTAGGATGACACATCATGAGGAAAAGCATCTTTCGACCATAATACCTATAGATATTTGAGAAATATGTAAATAGTTTTACATGTCTTAAACAAGCTCAATTTCTGTCCTTAGACATGAGGACCCAAAAGCTTTAAGTCTATTTTTCAGGCACCCTAGGGTCCATATCAAGGATGGCCTTTGGCAAAACTATGAATTAGGATAATTCTTATCTTTTTTCTGGGCTCCTTGCCCAGTGTCCTTCTGCTGCTCATCTGCTTGTTAGATGCTTTGACCTGAGTCAACCTCCCCTTGGTTCTGTATTTCTGACTCTCTCTATTTTTTCCTAGTCACAACTTACCTGGGATCCAATTTGTCAAAAACCTATTCTCTGCTACCTAAAATAAACCCAAAGTTAGCTGATAAGTCATGGTTGGTATATTAATGAATGTGTAATGCTCTCCAAACTAGGATTTTTATGGTATATGAATTTAAACTATTTCTTTTAGGATAATACCTTAAGCTATCAGTCTAATGGTAGAAACTCAAATATCATGGAAGTGCATATTGGAAATATTTTTGGACCGAAAGATCATACAGTATCTCATAACAATACCATATTTTATTTTTCAAGCAAGTTTGGCCCCCAAATAAATTACAGTTAGACTTTTGCCTATAACTTAGGATACGTATATGGGACTAGAAGAACCAGAGAAGGCAGTGCTTTTGAGGGGGAGGGGGATAGGATGATCTCAGAATCATATATATCAACAGATTCTCAAAAAAAAATGAAATTACAGAAAGGGTATATAAGAGAATAAAAATTACCTTTTCTCTCCTCACAACCAGAATTAGGTCTATATCCATATAGGTCGCTCCTAATTAGTTACTTTCAACAAACAATTCTAACTTCTGGGGATTATCAATCCCCAGAATGTTAAAGACAAGAGGTCTACCAGAGGACCTAATTTGGGAGTGGCTAAAACAACCAAGTAAGAAAGCAACAGAAACACAAAATGTGAGAAATATTAAAACTGGAAATTTGTAAACATTTTATAATTTTAAATTTTCAAATAAGAATCTAGGAAGTGACAAATGGATTATAAGAATTACTAGGCCATCAAGAAAAAGTTATGACACAAAACAATCATTATCTTTTTTTGTTCCTAAACACTTGGGTTGCGGGAAACGAGTTAAGTCGGCTCGTGTGAATTGCGCGTACTCCGCGGGAGCCGTCTTAAACTCGGTTCATATAGATTTGCGGTGGAGTGCGGGAAACTTGTAAACTCGGGCCGATTGTAACTGCGTATTACCAAATATTTCATTTCAATCGAACCCATACTTCAAAAGATATAGGCATTTTAACGCGCCATCTTATATTTTGGCGGGAAATTCACCCGACACCGTAGTGTAAATAGTCTATTAGGATCCAACCCTCCTAAACTGTTTTGCACATTACTGTGGTATGTAGAACTTCCAAAATGGTTCCCCCAGGATGTCCTGCTCTTTCAGGATTATGTTATATGGCACCGATGATTTTAGGATAGGGAAATTATCTAGATCTAATCCAATCACATGGGCCCTTAAAAGCAGAGAGCTCTCTATGGCTTGCAGCAGAAGTCAGGTTCTTACCCTTAAGGAACTGAGAGAGAACCCTGACTGACAGCCAGCAAAGAAATGGTTACTCATTCCTATAACCACAAGGAACTAAATTTGGCCAACAAGTGGAATGAATGTGTAACCAGATTCTTCTATAGACCCTCTAGGTAAGGGTCCAGCACTGTGGTCACCTTGATTTCCACCTTGTGAGACCCTAAGTGGAAGCAGTTGAGCCATGCCAGACTTCTAACCTAAAGAACAGTAAGCTTAAAAAAAAAAAATCTGTGTTGACTTAAACCACTATATTTGTAGTAATTTGTTATGCAGTAATAGAAAATTAACATAGTTACCTACTATATTATTAGCTTTTGATATAATGACTCCCACAAGATTAACTCCAGTTACCTCAAGTAATGAGCATCTTAAAATGTTAAAAATCTGAATCCTTTTTACTTTAGTCTCTATGAACTCAGGAGTCTCCCTATCCCCTTTTATTTTTTATTTTATTTTATTTTATTTTATTTTATTTTATTTTATTTATTTATTTATTTATTTATTTATTTTCCTCTCCCCTTTTAATCTAACTTCATATATAACTGCCATAAATTTTTAGATTTTGTGTGGGGCATTATCAATCCCCAGTCTAACCTTTCTAATTTTATAGACAAGGAAACAAAGGCTAACAGAGGTTGAATAACTTGCTTAAGGGCAAACAGTGATTGGAGTTAGGAATTGAACCTAGGCTTCTGACTACATCCAAAATTTCTGTCACCCCTACACCTATTGTACCATCCACATCTTAGTTATTTTGCCATTTTCCTTTGACAGTTCTTAACCGTCATAAATTTGTTCTTCAAGTACAGATAGCAATTAGAAATTCATGAATTTTCTAAGTAC